ATTTAGGCCTTTAGAGTAGAATATTGTTAAAAAGGTAGGCCTCTGTAAGTTAAAAATACGCCAAGCCTCTACTAGGCCTACTACTCAGACGAGGCCTGAGCCATCCTCCTGGAAAGTTAAAGTTTTGTTGTATTTGTATGGTATGCCGTCTAGGCTTAATTGTTTTTGCCATTGCCAAAATTAGTCTTAGGGTCTATTCTAAATATTTTAGGCCCGTTTTATTAGGGAGGACTATTTAAATTTAGTCATGCCTAACTAGTCGACGCGAGCGGCCAGTGAATCAGTTTCGTGGCTCCAAAAATATGAACATTTGATTGGTTGAAATTGTTTATTTCGGTCCGCCCATTTATCCAAATACGGAATATAAGATTACGTCATTCTTTTGGCATCCTGGTGCCTGACTTCAGTGTTTTACAAGTCGCTTATTCCGTCTATCTCTAAATTAACTTTCTCGTTGGTGGCGCTGTCCAGAATGAGAAAAATAATTTTTAAAAAAAATAAGAGACTTGTGGCAAGTCTAATGTCTAGTGCAAACACCCCACGAAAATGGACCAATTGGTGGGCAGGCAGAGTTTTTAGGGGCGCGACCTATTCTGTTTACAACTAGACTGCCGACCAGCATTACCCAACGAAGAATGTGTGCTTGGAAAAACATAATCAGACCTAAAGAAATGCACGCAAAAACAATATAAAAATCGCATCAATTTTATTGGTAATAATTAAATTTGCTGAGCAGTACAGCAAAACAACAGGTACTGTACGTATTATTAAATAATGTGTTGAATTTGCGTAGGGTAGGCTAGGCCTATTCAAAAGAATCCAGGGCTTTGATAAATTAATTAAATTAATAGCTAGGCCCAGACTACAGCAATCTTGTTGAAAATGACACAATTCTATTTTGTCAGCTGTAGAACCTTATCCAAACTGCAATAGTATAAAATTGAGGTTTTTGGAGTACAGATAAAGTTTTATATCCATACCAGCCAGGAAAGTCCCTGGAGTCCGATCCATCACATTTAAGACAGTTAGTTTGGACAACGAGAGTACACAACATTCCATAAATGTTTTCCTCTTATCATACAGTTTACTAGTCTTTTCAAGAGTGGGGGGTATTGTCTCTCATTAGTATGGCTTTAATATTTGTCAAAATAGAAAACTATGAATAGGGCACAACAAAAGATCCAGATTAGCTTGGGTACGGACGCACAAAAACAGATGTCTGGAAAGTAACGATTGCATGTTTACAAAAAACTGCGTAACATACTAGTAACGTACATACTACATACACACGAGCAGGATTTTAAAAGTTCCTATGCTTGCAAGTAGCATAGGAACCAATAATAATAATAATAATAAGGATAATAAAAATAATCATAATTGTAATTCAATTATTTTGTCAATGGTAGTCATTGTATTTTACTTGTAAATTGTTATATTTTCTATAGTGACTGTTTTGTATGTTTTTTTTTATATTTGTTTTACATTTTATAATATAATACGTGATGACGAGCAGAAGATGATGTATCCCACAGAAATTAATCACCCAGGTAATTTTAACTGCTTCCAACTTGGCGGAAATTGTCTTTGGCCAATGAGATCAACTCTACAAAATGTTTTGGCCCTTCCAACGAATTAATCAAGAACCAGGGACTACAGAATAGATAGTAAAGAATGGTTAGATTAATGGCCTAGATAGGGAGTTAGGAACACTAACAGTGATTGGTCCATTCTAAACGTTATTAGTCATATAAATGCCCACTTAATATAAGAACCGCTAGGAGTCATAATTTGTTTCAAATTTCTAACGATGGGAGGGGGATTCTTCCTACCATATCCACCACCGCTCGATGCTTTGCTTTCAATTTTAAAACAATTTACATGTGTTCGTTCAATTAATTTATCACCAGAACTTCTTTTGTGAATCTATTTAATGCCTCTGTAGAATAGTCAAAAAGAAACGATTAAAGGTTCAATCTTTGCGTTTAATGATAGAGGTCAAAGCCCAAAAGGTCAGTTGATTTTGGCATTTAGCTGATTTCAGAATACATACCTCCTTTTGTGATAGGCTCTCACTGTGAGTACCTACTAGTACAATTTGAGGCTTTTTGACTTCCTTACTCTCTTCTGAGTCTACTGGGACAGCATACGTATATATCAACCTCATCCAGTATATGATAATCTCTATATTTGTCATATTACATGTCATCACATCTCCTGCCTAATGAAAGAAAATTACAAGACTTTGATATAAATATATGACATACAGCATTCAAATACCAACTTATGGGCATGTTTCTACAACACTTATAATTTTTCCGATGTGTTCAACATCAAAACAATTTTTTTCTATTTATTTATTTATTCAGGTATAAAAACATACAGTACATTTATAATAAGCAGCTATACAGCTGAAAATGTTGTAATTACAAATCAGTACATTCAATACAAACATTATATATTAGACCTATATATACAAAAATAATTTAAAATCAATTTATATCATTTTTTAATTTACAGAATTGAAGCTAATGATGTATAATTAAGACTTTAAAAACACGCCGTAAAGTACTAAATGCTTTAATTATTTAAGGGCATCCACAATCGCTGAAACGGCCAAATAGTAGAGTCATTTTCATGAGATCCGGGAAATTTTTGAGGGGGTGCCAGAAAATTTTGGCAGTGCTACCAAGAAAAAAAAAAAGTTAATTTCCAGCCCTGCCACTTTTATTTAGAAGTGTTTGTTACTAACTACTGCAGCAGTTGCCTTTGATATTAACTACCCAAAAGAATTCTTTGCATGTTCATGATTTGTAATTATTTTTTTTCGAATTTTGAGGTTTTCAAATAAACTGTTTGATTCTCATATGAAAATTTACCAGAAAATTTGGCCGCTATTTCTGCTGCAAAAAAAAAAAATGTTATTAGTGAGATGGGCTTCTTTTTGAGGCAACTTTTGCAGAGTAAACCAGAGCCTTGCAGGCGTCAACGTTCCTATGCATGATACATGACTTTAAGAAGTATATATACGTATATATATATATATATATATATACATATATACGTACATATATACGTATATATATATACATATACGTATATATATATACATATACGTATATATATACATATACGTATATATATACATATATATGTATATACATATATATATGTGCGTATATAC